CTGTGGACAATATAGTCCTGTGATAGCCTTCATGAGAGGTATCTATTTTTACGGATATGATGATCCTCTTTCAGTATTTGGTCCCAAGGCAAGAGCCACGCTGTATAAATACAGGTTAAGCTGTGCCATGACAGCCCTGCTTTAAAGACAATGCAGGAGTATATGGCCTCAGAAATGGCTCCAGCTAATGCCATGCCTTGAGGTTTGGGGAAAACATCTGTTGTACCCCTTAAAGAGGGAGCCATGTGTGCCCACTACCCCATCTTCCAGTTTTTCCAAAGGGAGAATGGGAACAGGGGTATGGCTCTGCCTTTTTCCTACCCATTTTAGGAGGGTGAATGCTCTTGCCTAGATTTAGCTTTTTGAAAATCGGGGGAGAGCAGCAGGAGTTGTGCCTGTGCCAAGGGCCCCAAGGGAGCAGCATGGTCATGCCGCACAGGCTTGGTCTGCAGCATGACACCAGTACCAAGCACTTGCGGGCAGATTGGTTGATTGGTTCCCCGTAGCTAAGGCTGCTCTCAGGTCTTGGACCCCATGGGATCAGGCCATTGCTCCAGGACTTCCACCAAGATCATCAAGTTGCATGAATCTAAAGCTGGCTTCCCTTCTGCAGAGATGGGCTCATCCTGACTAACTTCAGATTACAGTTTATTTCTTATTGTGCCAGGGTCTGTATTGGACCAATTTATAGTGAGAAATGAGGTTGGCAAGATAACAGGGGCATCACAATTAGAGCTAATTAGCCCAGCAGGAAATCCATTTCCAGGCAGCTTTTGGCAAGAGGCGAGGTTGGCGGAATAACAAGCATAGAGTGTATTTTGATATAAGCACACTCCAGCTGCAAGGAAAAGTAAAATAGCAGCTTGTCTCATCCTTATGCAGAGGCCTCACATCAGGCTCCACCACGTAAGCCTTTTTGTTTGAGGCTTTACAGCCTCCCTGCCTGGAAAAGGTTGAGAGAACTTGTTCTTGCAAAGTCACCTTGGCTGCTGGAGGGCAGCGGTAAGGTCTGCACAGCCCCTCACTCCCAGGGACAGGCAGGAGGATGCCCAGCACTGCGGTCCTCCTCCGATTTCAGGGCAGATGAGGGGATAGCGCTTAGAACAGAAATCAGTGAAGAGCAGACTGATTTAATTGCAGGAGTTATCCATACTGCAATATGTTGAGGGTTACAGACACAACCAAACTACTGAACTATTTGTATTTGAGTGCTTTATTATATTGGAATTGCGGTGATATTATTAACATTTGTACAAATGCACAAAATTCCTGTCTCTTGTAGCTAGAAAGAGATGTAAAAATCTGACCTAGTTGAACAGTCTCAATGAACTCATTGTCCATTTGTAACAATAATGGGTTCACAATGCGACAAAAAGCTTAACATAAAATTAAACATATTAAATGCTGCAGCAAGTATTTACACTTATGTACCAAAAAAAAAAACCAACAAACCAAAGAAAACAAAATTATCTCCCTCCGGTAAGGAAGGTGGTTGCTTTACAGAATAAAACAGACAAACAAACACAAAACCTTTGCATACAATACAAACAACCTCAAGCCCAAAACTTACTGTGACAGCACCTTTTTTTTAATATAATATATATATATTTATATATAGACTTCGATAGTTTAGGCTTACTCCAAGCAGTGCTAAAAGTTCCTTAAAAACAGGACAACAATGGCAATAGTCCGAAGAAGCAACGTTCACCGATGAGCGTTTGAATGGAGCTGTGACAGAGAGGGGTACAGAGCTCAAGGCCATGGGATGAGAAACACTTGGGTCCCAATGATAAAGTCCTTGGCAAAGCTCTCAGTGGCAATTATTATTATTCAGAAGAGTAAATGCACCTTGTGTGCAAAACAATTTGTCTTGTAGAAGCATGGTAAAGGTTGTCTCTGACAGGCATCTCTTTGCAATCTCAGCTCCGAGGGTGGGGAAAAAATGTCTCTGAAATTTCCTAAATTCCACCAAGGAAAACATTTCCCTTGAAATGCCCTATCAGCCCCCCCCACCTCTCTTGCTTCCTGACACTGCTGCAGTCTCTGCAAAGCCAGAAGGAGTTTTCAGTGTTCATTTAGAAGGCTGTTGCACAGATTTCTAGTCAAGCAAGAGGTTTGGGTCCAAGAATGTCACGGCATCAGATGGCATGGTCATACCATGGGCTTTGGGAACAGTTCCACCAGGTGAAACATCACTAACATTTAATATGCATAAATGTGGAACCGCAGATCCTGAATCCCAGGTATTACACATTGGTCTAAATATAGTGAGTTGTAATTATTGATTCAAGTCCAAGGAGAGCCGGGGAAAGGATCAGATTTCCACTTAGAGAATCAATCTTGTCTGTGAGTGTGTGTGACACTGACATTTTTGGCCTCATGCAGTTTAGGATTTGCTATAAAGTAATTTTAAAAGCTATGGAAAACCAATAATGGTAAGCAATTTTGCTGTTAAGTGTAAAACCACTGATAAAAGAGAGATAACTGTAAGCTCTAGGGAAAGAAAAAAAGGAGGTTATGGATGTAAACAGTCTCTTTTGTCTTTGCAGTAAGATTATTATTTCAGATGTTGAAAAACTGAACAAATTTGTGTTTGTGTGTTCAAATCATTTGAGATTTTATTGCTTCTGTTTGTCCTTAAAAGTTTTTAGCCTCTTTTCTTATTCTCTTTTTTTTTTTTTTAAAGGTGCTGTCCCTAGTCAAGTTATAAGGCAACATATTTTATTGATTCAGAACTCTTAATACATAGTATGGCCACTGTTATCACTGCAGCTTCGCAGCTACTGTGAGCTGGACAACAGTCAAAGTGCATGACAATGCACAACAGAGCCAGTCTCCTGACCTTACAATATACAGGACACTTTGGTTCTCGGGATGAGAGATTATAAATGTAGCTTAGATGCTGCCTCACACACTTTGCATAATAAAACATTTATATGCTGTCATGAAGAGGGTGTAAAGTCTAAGTCACACTGCAGACTGGCTGTTCTCAGCTTCTCCATTCGGGCAGGTGTGAGAGACAAGTTGTAGATATGCCACCAGTGAAAGCATATAAATGTACCTGGTGCAAACGTTTTACAAGAGTATTTATAAATGATTCAACAAGGGAGAGCAAGAATGAGAGTGAGAGCTAAAGTGCAATTTTAAAATAATATAAATAATTGAAACGTAGAAATAAGATACTAATTAGTTGTAACTGGTTTTGTTTTATAGGCACAGTTTAGTTTTTATGTCTACAGATCAATCTTTTTCTCTTCTTCCCCCTCCAGTAATTTTCTCTGATGCATAATGGAGTTTCAATGGTGTAAATCTAAGGAACACTGCTTAGTAAGAGGACAGAAGAGGCAATGATAAGGCAGTATAGTGCAACTCACTATGTGATATTAGAAAAGAAACAAGGCTGGGGTTAGATCTTCCATGGTGTTGTATAAAATCAGCCTTAATAAAAAAAAGGAGGAAAAAAAAATAGACAAGCTTTCCAGTTATATGTTGATCCATGCTTTCTATAATGAGAGAGCATGTTTTCCAATATAAAGGAAACAACTGAAGGTTTATAATTTGTTTTGTTGTTACCAAAAAAAAGAAGGGGGGAAAAAAAAAGGCAAAAAGAAAAAGCAGATGCTGCTTTAAGGAAAACATTTAATTCTAGGAATTTCTGTACAACTGACCTCAGCAGCCTTTTCCATCTTAGATGGATGACTTCTGCTTGAGACCCTGAAAAACTAAGATGCACACACACCTAGAGTAGTTTATTGCAAAACTAATATTGTAACTTAAAAAAACAGATTCTGTACAAGAATACTGTTCAAATGGAATGTGTTAAAATAACATTTATTAATAAATACTTTATAAAATTCTATGTGAATACTAAATTAATAGATTCCTGTTTTAAAATTGCTTTGGTCCTCATGAATTTTCATAAATTCACTCTATATGCTTTTTTTCTTAAAAAAGGTATTAGCTGCTAAAAAGCACATTTTGCCTAAACTAAAAGGCTAGTTTTCAACACTAGATATTGTTGCTTAAAAAAATATGAATCCTCCAAAGTTGGGCATTTAACAACAGTTATAGCTGGCTTGTTAGTTAACAGGACAGAGTCAGTTAACACACTAAATCCACACGCACTGAGGCACTGAACCATTGACTTTCCACTATTCAGAAGATGGGCAGCAGACATTTAGCTTCATAGCAGGAATTAACTCCCAACAGCATGAAATTCTCCATAAATCATCATCATCATCATCATCGTGGTCCTTATAAAACACACCATGATAGCACACAAACTACTTGTCTCCCACAGGCAGCATTAGGAATATGGCTTGCATATATTCAGGGGAGGAAGGGGCAGGGATGAAGGAACCGCAACACATCGTTCGGAGTACTGCAGTTGTCCGTGGCTGAGATTTCCAACGTGCTTCCAATGTTGTGCAGTGAGAGATACTGTCCACAGAAATACTTCCTCCTGAGCAAGGTGCCAGATGGGGCTTGCTGCCCTGGTAGTGCCCAGGAGAGCAGGCGAGGGAAGCGGTCCGAGACATTCGCTGGTAGCGGGATGGGGCATGGAGCCTGGCAAACCCGGAGACAGGCTGGATTGGTGGGGCAGGACAGCGGAGCAATCTCCAGTAGTAGCTCATGGAAAAGCAGGATTTCTCCTTGATGGAAAGAGACTGGGAAGTGCATTTAGAGTGACATGCTTAGGAAGAGGCCACTGCCACCAACTGTGCAGCAGAGGGACAATGCTGGAGACAGAGGGGCAGGGACTTCTCCCGCAGCCCTTGCTCAGGCAGCCTCCAGTGCCCAGCTGGACCGGCAGCTTGAGGAAAGGCTGCAGGATCATTCCCCTGGAAAACAAGAGCATTTTAATGTGGAAGCAAATCTGAGGAATAATATAAGGTGCCTGGTACAGTTGGTCCTTTTATTGATGATATAGCCGATATAAATATGCTGCGTGTTGTCTTGGCCTGTGAACCTGCGACAGAGTTACAAGAAGCAATAGCAAATAGCTTTTCATCTTTTACTTATTTCCACATCACTAGCAAGGATTATACCTAAAGGCCAATAGTATAGAGAGGAGACATTTCATTGTAATTACACATTTAGGCCAACATGTGTAGTTGGCTTGCCTAGTTAGCATTAAAAAAAGAAATAATTGAGCTATATATAATACACATCAGTCAAACTCTCAAGTAGCTGAATTTAACAAAACTTAGGCAAGGTTTTTGTAGTTTTTCTTTGTTTTTCTTTTTTTTTTTCTTCGTTTTAATGTAGAGGCTTTCAGTTTAACAGCTAAATATTTTAATTGAGGAGACTGAATAAAATGAAGCTAAACCGTAATTCTAGTGCAGTGTAGCTCAACTGGGTATTCTAATATTACCAACAACTTTGATTTTTATTTTTTAATGTATTTAAGTGCTACCCATATAAAGGAAAAGTTTTTAAATTAACCCTGCGATGACATTTTCTTTTTCATGGTGAATGATGAAATTCAGACACAGGGGAAATGGCTTATTTGGTTTTTTTTTACATAGCGGATACTCAGCTGGAATATTTTGCTCGACTGCATATTTGAAAAAAGTTCCCTTGGGAGCCATGATGAAGCAAAACCATTTAGCTATTACAACTGGAGGTTAACAAAAAATTATAGATTCAGTATTTAAAACACTTTAAAAGTATTTGTTTGTCTAAAATATAATAGAAAATCCTTTACATTTGTATTTTTTTGTAACTTTTTGGTTCTTAGACTATATAATCAAGTCAAGATTTACACTGTACATTAAAAATCTTTTTTTTGAATGTACTTGCATAAATGGAACGTGAGCTGTTAAAGAAAAGTATACTGATAAAAAATTAGTTAGCGAGATATGAACTAATTCAGAAATGAATGATCCTCAGAATTTTGCTTTCCCTTCCAGGATGGCCCTGCTCCTTACAGTGCCTCAAGCTTCATGTTTTTCACTCTCCCTCCTGCATGGAGATGAGCCACCCTTCTCAAACCCAAGACTCCTCTAAAACCCAAAGACACAGTCTTAGATGAGGAGAACTTTGCTTTGGAACAAAGCATGTTCATGGTTAGAGGATTTGCCAGGAATAACGTGAATTAGGTTTTGCTATTAAAGTTGTAGCTCAAAATGTTTGAACATTTATCACCAGCTCGGAGCCTGCTCCCTGAGTAATCAGCAGGAGGTTTTGCCGTTGACAGATTTGAGAGCAAAATCAGGTCCCAGTATAAAGCAAGGCAGCATAATTAACTGGCATCATCTCCGTCTGATTTTCCCATCAATCACTGGTACCACTCGGGGATGCAAATCAGTCACGCTGAGGGGCAGGCCCAGAGTCCAAACAAAAACCTTAATTGTGGCATAAGGCTCTTTTCCAGACCCTCTTTGCAGGACGGAATTTTATCCAGAGTGCAGTGGGATTTGCCATACCTGCAGTGCTTCTTAGCAGCTGCACGCCTTCTAAAAATTATTTAGTGTCCTAATGAGACAATTCCTTACCCGCGGTAAAGGGGTGTTAAGTGCCATTAAAGTCAGTGAAGCTACACTGCTGTCTGCCAGGTCGGGATCAGTCCATGGATGCTTAAACAAATGCCTGCAGAGAGCAGGTCTTTCCCTGGGAATTAAAACTGGCATTTTTCCGGCTGGTCAGAACCATTACACTGATTTATTTCTCATTTATAGCCTGTGAAACCTGAGGCTGTTAGCTTTTGTTGCTAGAACAACGCAATCGGGTTAGGGGACAGAACTTTTCTGAATTATTATATACTACATGGATTTTTCTATGTTAATGACTGGCAGTGCAAAAGAATTCCTGTGATTCTCAGGTGTTGTTCGCTATGCCTGTACCTCGCTGCAGAAGCTCACAGAGCTGCTAGCATCAACACAGCTGGCTCTCAATCCTGCTTCACCTGGGGCTGCACTGCTTTTGCCTTTCACTGTTTATTAAAAACACTAAATCAGGAGCATTTCTTTTTTTAAAAAGCCAAATGCTCAGCACAGCCCAGCTGCAGGTGAAGAGCTAGTGAAAGCAGCAGCTGCACCGACAGTTTTTAGCTGGGCTTGAAGTTTTTGCTTGTTCATCACCATTCTTTAAGAAAAAGAGAGGGAAGTGAGAAAGCCTTGGAATGAAAAAAAAAGCAGGGTAGAAAAAGAGAAAAAGCTGGGGATGAAAAGATTTTGGGAAGGGAAAAGGAAGGTGTGGGAATAACTGGAGGAGAAAAAGGCCAGGGTAGGGGAGGAGAAGGGGGAGGTCTAGTCAAAAGAACGTGTTATTTGGGCTCGATTTTGTCCTGACAGCCACATCCTATATAACTGCTTTGAAAGAGGCTCTGAATGCAAGATGGGGTCTGCTGATAGCACAACGCTAACTCTTTCTTTACTATGCTGTCAGCAGATCCCTTCTCTCTGTATTTATAGCCTAATTACTCCTAGTTACCTACATATGACTCTGTTTAATACTTTTCATGCCTCACTCTGGCTAACAAGCTGCAGTTTAACACAACCTGGTATCTCTGAGGCTTCAGGCTAGATTGGTGAGAAGGAAACATGACTATGTACAGAAACAGTTAGGTTTATAAACAAGTAACTGGTACCAAAAAAAATGGAGAAAGCACCAAAGCATTTCTCAAGCTGATAACATATTAATTGCATAACTCCCTTTCATGTAACTAAGTATAAAAGACATTTTAATAACTATAAAAATGAAAGCCAGAGTCTTTCAAGAACTGAGGAATCTTCCAGGCTTGAGTTACAGTTGCAAATGTCCTTAGCACAGAGGACGCTTTGATACGCTACCACACTCCCCTAGCAGTTTCTGACCAACCACCTTTAAAGAATGGGGTTGATGTCTGTTCTGTGGCTGGCGAGCTGGGTGAGAGTGGAGCTTCCCACGACGTCGCTGACAGAGGAGGAGGTTGTGATGGTGTTGTGTTGGATGACTTGCTGCTGGGAGCAAGCTGGGACCGGGCTCGCAGGAGGACTGCTCTCGGGACCTGGGAAGGGGGTGAGGGCACAGAAACAACGCACATTCATATTTCCATCCGAGTAACAAGCCCAGGCTTGGTGACACTCCTGGAAAAGGGATGTACTACTACAGCAGCGCTACTAACAACCTCAGGCATGCACAAGTCCCAGGATTTCAAAATACACAGTTATCCAACACTCTCCATCTTCTGATCTTTTGCAGCTTTTGTTTTGATGATTTTTTTAAGACAGCTTCTCTGATATCAACCTGACTTCAGGAGTTGGGACCCTGAAGTAAGTCCAAGACCTTAATGGCTACGAAACCAATGTTGGGATAAAAAATCTGATATCCTAAGGTCTATAAAATCAGTTGGGATGCTTAAATGCTTTATTCGCTCCAGCAGGAACCAAAATGAGAGTGCAGTGCAGTGCACTGCAGCACAGAAAATCTAATTCAAGCAACAGTTGACAGGCATGTAATGTAATTACATACTTTTTGTCTTTGAGTACTGTTAAAAAGCCAGATGCATAGTGATGCAGAGGAGACAGAAATGGGCTCTATTTTAAGGGAACACTGCAATCTAGCAGATATTAACCCTGAGTCTCTTTTGAACTGTTCTAGAGCCAAACAAAGAGTTTGTCCCTAAATTGCCACACTCATAAAATGCATAAATTAGGCAGAATCAATTCAACGTCTCCATTAAATGATAACTTTGTGGAAAAAAAGAAAGATTAAGAGTTAAGAAAGAGTTAACAAACCTTGAAAACCTGTGCCACGCCTGGTCTGTGCCACTGTCAGAGCACAGGACCATTTTCACTGGAGGGAACTGTAATATTTTCCTTTATAACTTTCCTTTTGAGAGTTATTTTAAGGTTCTGGCAGTCCTGTGCCCAGGAGGACTCTTGCAGGTTTGGAGCTGTGAGTTCAAGCAGGATCCTCCACAGGGGAGCGAGCGTCCATCCATGTGCATCTCCTTGCCGAAGGGAGGGGTGGGGAAGGCTAGCTCTGCTGTGTGGGATGGAAACCAGGGCTTTTTTGGTTTGGTGCGGGGCTGGATAAGTAAGGGCAGGGGATTGGATGGCTTGGATGATGTTTGAGAAGACAGGTTCAAGAGATAATATGATCAACAAGGGGTTCTGGAGGGAAGAATTGGAAACTTTGCTTTCCTGTGAGGAGTGTGGAGACAGTGCAAACATACCAGCTACTTACTTAGATATCCTTGCGATTCTTTCTGCATAGCTGTTATTGGACAGTCTTTATGTGTTAACAATAACTGTTTCAGCTGTGCTACCTCATTTTTCAGCATCGAAACCTCGTTCTAGAAAAGAAAGAGAGGGTTTGGTTTGCCACAAAGCTTAAACCAGACTCTTCTGCAAAGTTTTAACCCAAGAACACAGAAACTGAGCCACAACTTCAGCATAACTGAGCAAAACTGGCACATGGTGCTCGTGTGCTGGGTTTATGATAACATTGTCCATGACATTATTTTATAACTTGTTCTGAAGGCAACTTGGCTTACTGGAACCACGCAGGAACAACTATGAATGGGGTAGAACTACTGTGCCTGCCATAAGAAGGGCAGCACTGTAAAAAAGGCTTTTATCATCATACTCAGGTTATTTTCATCTATTCATATAATTTTTCTTACTGTTAGACTGATATATTTACGCTCCTATCTTGCTTGCTTTGACTGTTTAGCTACACGCCCTTCTCTAAAATAGTCTTTTACAGCCGAGTTAATGCCACTTCCAAAAAAATCCCCCTGAAAAGCAGTGACAAGAAAAGAAAATAAATACAACTACATCTAGTGAAGGCTTCTAAATTCCAAGACAGCTTTTTCCTGGCTTACCCCACTAAAATGTAATTATTTCTTTAATTGAAGCACACACATCTTGATTAATGGACTTTGATTATGCCCCTGCTCCTGCTAGGAGCCGGCTGTATGGGGGCAGCCCCAAAGGCACCACCAGCCCCTCCATGCACAAAGAGCCCTTCTGTGTCCTCGGGGGTGCAGACAGTGTCTCGCACCTGAAGCTGCATGTTTGTCTGGGTGAGCTCTTCTGCTTTCTTTTCCAGTGACATCACCCAGACCTTCCTCTTCTGTCTGCAGCGCGTGGCGGCAGCTCGGTTCCTTTCCAGAAATTTCCGCCTCCTCTCATCCGGGTCCTCGTCTACCACCCTCCTCCTGCGGCCTCCGGTCGGCTGCGGTGGCTGTATCGTCTGTGTGGGCTGCATCTGCTGCGCTGCTGGCGAAACCTGGTGAGAAGAGGAGGTTTGGCACAGGGTGGTGAGGGGGAGAAGTTACCGAGGGGGATGCTGAAATGGGAAGGGAAGTCTCACATGCCCGTCCCGCTGCCCGGCGAGGTCTGCAACAGGCACGAGTTGAAAGGCTGCACCAGTTGCCACTGAAATTAGCTGCTGGCAAATCAATGCCATAGTCAAAGGGGGCATTTTCTGGAAATGATCCTCTGAATATTAGTAGGGAAAATATTTTTTCCCTTACAGTTAGTTATTGAAAATGTTCACATAGGTACTTTCTCTGCCACCACCTATTTCAAACCTGAAATGTTAAGTTTCTCTCAGCAACTGTTTTAATCAAAGCAGGGGACTGTAATATCCTTATTTCTGTCTCTCTTTTTTCCCCAGTTGCCTCCACAGCTTTAGGACATTTCTAGTTCCCAGACTTCCCCATCTCTGTCTCATGCTTTACCACTTCTGGAGATGGGAGCTGCAACACCCTTTCCACCAGAGTGGAGCTGGAAAGCCTCAGGCTGGGATCATGCAAGGCCAGCAGACGTCAGTGCCCCTCATCTGGGACAAAAGAAAGGATTTAGGTATCTGAACTTGAACCCTTGTTTGGCTATCCCTGCACTGCATGGAGAAGGGTTATTCCCCTTACCAGGCATTTTCATTTGACCCTCGTGGATGCTATGCTCCCTTTTATTCACAAAGCCTAGCTTTGACAGTAGAAGCACACTACATCTATTCCTGCTGCTATGAAACTATGAAAAAATATGTCTTGGTGCTTTTTCAAGTGCAGGAAAGTATCAATCCTGCTCCACAGAGTAACTGGTGCATTACAGAAAAGTGTGTGGTGGAGACAGTCCCACACAGTCTGTACTCCACTCCTGGGTGGATGAAACACATACCCATGTCCCTGTCAGGAAGAAGTATCAGACTTAACATTCAGCTGCCTTGGAATAACCAGCTTTTGGACTGCTCTTCTGCCTTCCCAAGGTGCCCAGGCCATGGGGTCTGGACTGCACTTGGGGCTTGGGAGCCTGACCCATGGGTCCCATTGCTCACACCCAGTGGGAGCAGCTGCTGCAGCTCACATTGCTGCTGCCACTCCAGCAGAGTCTGGAATAGTCTGGAAACCTGAATTGTTGACTCAAAATTAACCCTCTTGTCCTGGCAAAGGCCCAAACCTCCAAGGTGCTTCCTTTGACTCCAGGGAGTGGATGTACTCAGCGCTTTGTCAGACTGAGCCCTGAATTTCAATTGCGGCAATTAACATGTGTTTGCCTAACACTTCTGTCTGTCTCAATTAAAATGATACTATCGTCTTGCGTCTTGCAAGGTCGCTTTTCTGTCTAGAATCTCGCCACAAACTGTGAAGAAGACTTTGCTTTCTCCCCCAGCTGACTTGTGCCAATTAAAGTGGCAATTTTATGTGTAATTACTCGGTGCATCTGATAACTCTTTCTGCATGAAGCCAAATGTATTCCCAGCTTTATGTTGCATATGTTGCACAGTCAGGGAATCTCTCTCACAGAAGCAGAAAAATGTTTTAAAAAAATAACCATCTAAAAATAAATAAGCCACCCTGCACTTTCTGACTGATTTTTAAAGTTTCATCCTGTATTAACTCCATATGTTTGCTGGTAAAATCTCCAGCACCCTGTCCACACCAGGGGCTGGCGTCTCAGGACTATGGCAGCTGTAGTGACTGCAGCCACCAGCACCATGCAGGACCACTGGCCGTATCTCCCATCACCACCAGCATCCTGGGGCTGCCACCTGGAGATCACTGCCAAGGGATGCCAGCTGGAGCTGAGCACAACGCCTCTTTAGCAATATGCTTAAGCACAGAGGCCACAGAGATCCCTTTAATGTCAACAGGTCATCAAAGGCCCCTCACTTTCTCTCTCACACACACACCCCTCTCCAGACTTCAGAGATCTGTTACTTATGTTTCTGGACACCAAAAGCTTTTCTTATCCCATTTCTCTCCTTTTTAATTCAGCTTTAAAAATTCTTGTTTCTTAACTCTCTCAGTGGGGACTGCTACACAGGCAGAAAAAGGTAACTATACGATTCTTTGGGGTTTTTTCCTTATACAGTCATTTTCTCCTGAATAACTAGTGAGTCATTTTGGTTTTAGAATGTACCAGTTAGTCTTTCGGCAGTCAGAGCGCATTTTCAGAACAACAAAACCTCCTCTCTATCTCTGGCAGATATTAATTATAAAGGTTGCCATTACATCACTAATAATGTTATGTGGGATAATTAACTGACTCTTATTAGATCGCTCTTAACCCTGAAATCTGTTAGGCTAGATCTTAGTATCTGTCCTAGCATCTTTCTCTAGCAGGATTTCACTTCACTGCCCTGCCCAGGGACAAAAGAGAGAAAATGAACATGTACTGAAATTGAAGTTAATGTTTTTCTTAGAAAATGCTAATCACATCCATAAAGAAGACAAGCATAGGACAGCTAAGAGAATGAAACAACATCCGAACTCTGCTTAAGCTATCGCTCTGGCGAGTTTGATATGAAGAAACCTTCATGGGACCAACAGAGGAATCATTTCTGTAGTAGCTGAGGCAACATAGCTACAACTTGATAAAATACTTCACTTTCTCAGAAAGTGGTTTCTATTTTTATGCTTGATCCAATTTCTCTCTGTTCATTGCTACTTACCATAAAACTAATACCCATTAACTCATTCTATGAAAGCGTAATTCATTGGGCTCCTGTGTATCAAAATGATAGCTGAAAAGCATGAAATGAATTCCAACATTACAGAAGGGTGTGGTGTAGAATAATGACGGTCTCAGCATGGGAGCACATGGCTTACAGTAGCGTGGACCATGCTGTCATTTGGCTGGTGGTTTGGAATGAAAGAACCTGGCTCAGAAGAATAAGGAGGTTAATAATTAGTAAATCACACCATAAAATTAAAGTCTGCTGGAGCAATCTGACCCCCAAAGAGGCCATTGCCATGGGGACTATGGATGAGCTTAGAAAGTAATAACCATGTGATTATTACTCAAAAAACTCTTCTTTTCTCCCCACTAACATATCTGTTCAGAGATTGCTATTGCCTTCACTCCATGGGAGCAGACACACGCATCAAGAGCTCTGCTGCCTGGGGAAGCTGCTGATCCTAGGATTCCTGCTCCATCACCCTCCATTCCCAGGTGAAGGAACAGAGGAATGACACACCTATGAAAAGGTGAAGACCTCCCTGATCCCCAGTGGGGCCTGTTGCCTCCAGGGACATGATGTAGGTGGCAAAGATCATCTGACTGCACAGGCCCAGCTTCAGAGACTGTTTGGTGCTGGGACACAAGGGTAAATCTGACATAGCAGTGTGGCTACCAGTCAGCCCACCTATTCTGGTGCCTGTATGTCTTCTTGAATAACTGTGAGCCTTTTGGGCTGCCTAGCTAACAGGGAATACAAAGCACAGAAGTCTAGGCTGTCCTAACAGGAAGGAGTATAAAAAAAGACATGGACCTGCCCAAGCAGGTCCAGAGGAGGGCCCACTCACTCACTGACCTTATCCCTAAAACTGGGAGACTTTTAGTTCTCTGGTAACTGTTTTATCCTCACCTGGTAATGTGGATGTTTTACAGCAATGCTCCTTACCATGGTATCTGACCACCTCACCTGCATTACCATGTTTATCCTCCCTCACCTCAGTGAGGTGTCAGTACTATTACCCTTGTTTTAAAAGCCTCAGAGAGGTTAAGTGACTTCCTTCATCTCATCCATGAAGTTCTTAGTCTGCTAAGCACAACTTTATCCTTACTCTGTCATGGATCTCAAAGATGATCATCAGGTTACTTTTGGTTTCTCTGTTATGAGATACTTTTTATTGGAGTTTTTAAACAACTCCTAGGAAGATAACTCATTAACAGATGAGAATTTAATTCACAAAGTAAAAACTGAACTAAACTTAGGAAAGTGCTGGACATCTTCTCACAGGGGAGTCTGCTGCTTTCTTATTTAGACTGTTTCTCTAAAGCTGACAATTCATTTTACATTAGCAAATGCTTCAGGGAAATCCCATGTGCTTGCAGCCTCTGCAATAATAAGGCTAGATGTTAGTAAATAGTTAATGTTGTGGGACACTGGGATGTCAGCCAAATCCTCTCATTTTCTTTAATGTTTTCTAAGAGCTTGGCTGAAAGGTATTTTCAAGCAACACAATACTTCACAGATTGAACTTCTTGTGGCTGGCACTCCTTTGTGTCCTCATTCTATGCACTGCCCACTTGTCTTCCTTAAATTTGCTCCCTAGACCTGGCATGTTACAGACACTGCCCCCAGGGCTTTACTTTTCTTATGGGATCCTGATGCAGAAGCCTATCATCTTGAGACATTAATAGAATTCCTCTTAAAAATGACTCTGCTGAAGTCTGTGCTTACTAGTTCATTAGTTCAAGAAACATTCAGTTCAGATATTGAATTGTCCAAACTGCTGAAGCCAATATACTTGTCCAAAAATTGAGATCTTCATCTCATTCAATGGAGACCTTCACTGAGTTACCATCTGAATCCAATTCAGAATTGCCTTCCTGGTTTAAATCTCTCTCTTCGGACTGGTTTCACCATCTTTTTCTCCTATCATAACATCTTCCAACTATTGCCTGCACTCTCAGCCAATCTTGTCTTTCTCTCACACTTTGCAGATGAGGGCATCTCTCCCCTTCACAGTGTCTGGATCATTTCTTCTTTTCCTCAAAGCCAGTGTATCTTACCTTAGAACTTCCCCTACTATCTCCAGTCATGAACACATACACCCACTCATACCAGTGCCATTTCAGATATGGTGCTATGTGTTTCTGCATACAGCTCTTCATATCTTAGCCTGAGAAGTTCAGGTTCAAGCACATTAAGCAACATACATAATATGCTAATCTCCACAATAAATCTCATCCATAAAAGGATATGTGTCAATTCGCAGAGCTCACAGCACTGCAAAACCTTGGAGCTCCTTATAAAGTAAGATGTTACAAATGTCTAGCAAATTAAGCAGCAAAACAAGTTGTTGCTTCACTTCATTTTCTGAATAAAGTTTGGGCTTCTCCATCACTAGTAGCAGACATTTATGAGTAGCCTGAGGGGGTTGTATCTAACAAGACATGTGTGCATGTAGAAACAACACAGGGATCAGGCTTTAACTTCACATAACAGCAAAACTCAGCTATGCAGCATGGCAGGAAAGTCTACCTGTGCTTGTCCACTGGAGTGCAGTGGGGGGTGCGGCGAGGTCTGGTGATGTGCCGGGTGTGCGTGAAGGTGCGAGTGAGAGTGGTGGTGGGGATGATTCTGCTGGTGATGAGGCTGAGGATGAGGATGGTGCGTCGGGTGCTGGTGCTGATGCGGGTATGAGTGATGAGGTGGCAGTGTCTGGTGCTGATGAGGATGTGAGTGCATATGATGGTGCGGCGTCTGGTCCTGCCGTGAGCTCATCATTTCCATCATGTGGCCCATGGTGTTCATATTCCCATTTGACATGGCGGCAGGATGATGAGTCAGCGCTGCCTTCAGTCTCTGGAACAGAACAAGGCAGAAAATTCAACATTCATACACGATGATCTGAGCAACCAGGACTGGATTTCTGCTGCTGTAGAAGCAGTGCTTGTCCTGTGTTTTGAGATTTATTTAGTTTTTTCCTTGCTGTTCCCTTGATAAAAGGCATCTTATTTCAGTTTGAGAAAGAACATATTCTGGGGCTTTAATCTAGTTTTCCACTGTAAATATGTGAAGATATAAACATCTCAACTGACATGTAACAGTTACACATTTCCTACTGTGCTGCTGGGGAAAAATAACTGGCTCTTATCCTTTTCTCTTTGGTCAGCTCATTGGTGTTAGCTGCATCAAGCTTGTATTCTTGTAACTTTTGAAAAGGAAAGTGATTAAAATATAAGTGAGACAAAGTTCTCGTCTTGTTTTTACTGCAGATATTATTTAAGAGAGTCATTGATAAATATACTGCATTGATGTGTTTTTCAAATTCAGGCTCAAATGTATTCTAGCACCCAAACTGTTCTTTCATCAGAAAAGACAGGAAAATAATGAGGGTGGCCTCAACCTGATCCTCTTTCTCTGATGGTAAGGTCAAACATCTGCTGTGTTGTTATTCCATGCTAATCCCTCCTTCTGTTTTGTATATCTCACGTTTGTACTGTCACAGGTTTGGACCCCGGAGACCTGACAAAGACAAAACTCTCCTTAATATCAATGGGATTTGTTCACTTTTCCCTGAACACCACCAGAGGGCAATGGGAAGGGCTGCCACATTTTGGACTGCAGGATAGGGCCCCTGTGTACTAAAGCTGTAGCTGGAATACAGAGGGGAAAAAAAAAAGGTTTCCTTTCAGTGCAGTTACAGGGTCATCCCAAAGCTGTGAGCTCTCCTGGTACAGAGACACCTCACTGATGTCCCCTGTATCTGTCAGTCACAGATGACAGTCAGAAGATCTTACAAGCCAACATGGCTAAAATCTGCCAGTGGAGAAACAATGACCAGATTGAATTGCATTTTGGTTTTGTCTTTAAAGTAAAGAGAATGAATGCCAGCACACTCAGAACATACAGATGGGAATGTCAATCTGCTTTATATTGAAATATATCATCTGTTATTGCCTGTGCAACTCCACTGCAAAGCAAGTGGGAAAGGTAAAGGCTCCTATGTTCAAAGCTGGTGCTGTATTGTGTTTGTGTACCTGGAAGTGAGGAAGAAACAAATTCTTACAAAGAAATAAAAAAGAAAAATACTAGAAAAAGCCCCCAACAAACAAACAAACAAACAAAAACCCAAACAAAACAAAAGAAGAAGGTTGTGGGAGGCAAAGAGAAATAACAGGGTCAATTTAAAGTGTCATACTCTGATTTTTGTATCCCACATGTTTTTGCAGACTTTATGAAGATCATTCCACTGAGACACTGTAATAGATCCATTAATCCAAATCTGGTGGTTTATTTCACTAACAATCGATTGGCTGAACAAGACTTAAGAAAAAAAAAAGATAAAGGAAAGATACATTTGTAAAACATCAGTGCCTCGGTTTGTGTGAAGAATAGCTAGATTGATGACTTTTAAGAAGTTTCCTTAAGAAAGCCTATCAAACCATGACCATCAAAACCTGATGATCTTCTCAAAGCAAAATCGAGGCAACTATGGCAGTGGAGTTAAATATGCCTTTCCCTACCTCTGAAGTCAGAACGGAGCTCAATCTAATATCAGTAGCAGTAACTCATCTTGGGTGTAACATGGAAGACTTTAGCAGTTGTTGCCCTTAATGTTTCCAAATTGAAGTGCTACCCTGGTAGCAAGCAGCAACTCACAATGCTCAGAATAACTGGTGTTACGCAGGAGTGTATTAGGAAAAATACTGAAAACAACATATGAGTAAGTCAAATAATTCTGCATATCGTTCTTCTTCAAAACTAAGACCTTTTTTATGGGGTTGAGCCACCACACAGATCTAAGCCAAAGCACCAACAAAAGCTGGTTTAACTTTGTTTTCTGAATCAAAATGCAAGATAACCAAGCTCTCATTAGCCATCAGTTTTATGTGATGAATACCTAAAAACTCTACCCATGCTGTATTTGTCAGAGACCTCTGAAGCTGAACTACAGCATGTCTTATTCTAAACTGCAGACTTTCAAAGCAAAAAAAAAAAAGAGGGAAAAACTTAATCTGTGAATAAACATTTTTTTTTCAGCTGTAAAAACTGTGGCTTATTAGTGTGGCACAACTTCAAGGAGAATAAATTATTTTGTTTTCTTTCCATAGCCCCTTCTACCACATCCATTTATTTGAGATAGCAAATCAAGAGAGACAGTGAGAGGTCTGACATGCAGCTGGTTTCAGTCAATAGGGGTCATTTCCATTTGGACTGTGTATTCTACAAACTCCTTGTTCACTGTTCCCAATGGGAGGGTGGGCCAGCTGCCCTGGATCCTAGTCCTGGTAAGAAACCAGCTCTCTAACTCATCCCGTCCCAGCACAGTAACGGCCATCGCCCGGCCCTTGCCTCCTTTTAACGTTGTTCTTAGAACAGCTTTGTAGCAGCAAGAGCCGTGCCTGCACACACACACCTGGAGCAGCATTTATCTTCCATTAACCAGTTGCTCCTGCCCAGCAGAAACACTGGGGGAATGACAAACATTTTCTTTCTGTTTGGTCTTCAACGAGATCAATTGTTTGGGATGTTTTAGTTAGAGCAAAGGGAGGGAAAAGCACCAGAACTTGGTGAACTCTTTGCATTGAGTATGTGTAGAGCTGGAAGGGCAGGCTGCATTTTTGTTATTGTTCTTTTTATGTGGTCTAATTGCAAACAGCTGCTTTAGTTTAGTGTCAAATAAAATGCCACGGCATCAAAATTGAGCTTACTGGGCTCACTACATTAGCAAATCCCTTCTAGAATGACGTGATAACTTGGGACCTGATCCTGCCGCCATTCGGTTTTTCAGGAAATGTGTGACTGACTTCACCAGGTACCTGGCAGTTCACAGACAGGAGCTGAAACAGAGCGCTCAATACTCAGGTCTGCTCTCACCAAACCCCAGATCCTTGCCAACCTCACTGCTGTGTTTCTTAGGGCACAGTTCCTCTTCTCTCCCTTTTTTACTGCAATTTTCAAAACACTCCCCACCAACCTCAAGCCAAGAGGAAATGCAGGTGCTTGTCTTACCTGGCTTTTGGTCCTTATTGATTACTATTTCATCAAAGTGACCAACATCAGTTACAGCTGACTTGATCATGACGTTTCCATTAATGGTTGTCAGTGACACAGACATGAGAGATTTTTCATAGAGAACGGCCTGCTTTGCCTTTCATCAAGTGAATAAAGAAAATTCCCTTTTGATCTTACTACAGTAAGCCAGGAACACATAAATTCTCACCTTTGAAGCTTAGGAGGAAATAGAAACAGTGGATATTAGTGCTCAACAGGTAGGAGTGTTGTGCTCCCTGCAGCCCCCCTAACTGACACACATACTCTGAGTTAACACCTCAAAGAAGTTATCATTGTACCTGGAACATCGGGGTTTTTGGAAACAATTTTCACAGTGCCTCCTCCATCTAAAGCCTGACATGGTGCAGTGAATTGCTTGACATTTCCTTTATCATCATAGATTGCAATTCAGTCTCTGAACATCTTTGGGAAAACCCTAAGTCTGCCAAAAATGGGCTACAAGCATTTGAGATCATGATGTAAAATTGTATCATCAGCTTCCCTAACACCTATGCAGCTCAGGATCTTGCTGCTTCCTGAGTTTTCTCTATCATGATATGTATTTCAAGGTTGCCATGGCTTTTGCTCCACCTTTCTTTCTCCCATATTGCTAGTGTAAACAAGACAGCATATTTTTCAGTTTGTCAGAAGAAAAAAACCCATAAACTGCAAATTGGGAGGTTGCTGATGCTTTTCCCACAATGAAAAACCCAAATAATTTTGGGGTTTTCATATGTATGTAAATATTTATAATATCTATAGTGTGTTAAATTTATAGTGCAACAGGCTGTAAATACTGTATTATATTATATACCATAATCTGTATATGACAATAAACTACAACCTTTTCCCACTTATTCTTCAGTGAAGAAATGACAAAAATCTCTCCCAGTTTTACAGATGTTATTACCTGTGCTTCCATCAAACAATAAGCTATTATTTAATCCATTTGAATTTTAGGTTGGGACAGACATGGATTGCTGGTTTTTAATAGGACTGAATTGTTCTGAATAAGTACACATTGATGCACTCAGAAAAAAACTCTATTCCCTTTCTGGTCTGCATGTCCAAATCCTAGTAAATTAGAGAAGAGACAAGACCAGTGTAGTATCAGCTTAATGTCTGGCATATTCTTATCAGGAGATTTTATCAGAACCCTGTAGGCAGATGAAATATGATCTCAAAGATATTTTCTTGCACTGTGATTCTAGTCCCTATTATATAGGGGTATAATAAGTTCTCCCACAGGGGAAAGAAGACACTAGAGAGGAGTGAGAAGTCAGAGAAAAGCCCCAGACATCAAGCATCCGCACACATATGCAATTAGATAGTAACATCAGGGTAAAAATCCTGACTAGCCAAACTTCAGGGCAAACATAGCATTCACTAATGGCACTAAAATTGTTTTCTCATTTGCAATGGTCAGGTTTTCTTTTTTGCTTATGCTCCTCTAAGCATTATACCCAATAGCAGCCTTCCAGTACCTAAAAGGGGCCAACAAGAAAGATGGAGAGGGAGTTTTACAAGGACGTGTAGTGACAGGACAACGAGTAATGCCTTTAAACTAAAAGAAGGTAGATTTGGATTGGATATAAGGAAGACATTCTCTATTGAGAGTGATGAGATACTGGAACAGGTTACCTGGAGAAGCTATAGATACCCCATCCCTCAAAATGTTCAAAGCCAGGTTGGATGGGGCTTTGAGCAGCCTGGTCTGGTGGAAGATGTCCCTGCCCATGGCAGGGGCCTGGAAGTAGATGGTCTTAAGGTCCTTTCCAACCTAAACCATTCTATGATCCTATGAT